ATTCTTCTCCCTCAAGCCCTCAGAGGGGGCATAGGCCTGCTGACACCTTGATTTCAGAATTCTAGCCCAGGAATGAGAGTAGACTTCTGTCATTTTAAGCCACCAAGTTAGTGGTCATTTGTTATAGCAGCCCTAGGTGACTGTTATGTACTTTAATGTGCAACCCATTTCTTTCAGAAAGGATGGAATTATCCCATGTGGCAAAGGATGGCTCCCTGTGGAGCTGTCACAGCACAGGCTTGTAGTCTGAGCCTTCCTGCCACGGTGCTGCCCCAGAGCCTTAAGATGCTACAAAGCTCTTAGGGGTGAAGGCTCGCCCGGGCACACTGTCTACTTTGTACTCCTACAAGGACAACATGCCTCCACTGTGCATGCTGGTTGCAATCACATATCTTACACGTGTAGAAGACTTGGAAGATTCTTTTGAAATGCTTTCCCACTTTTTCTCAAATGGTCCTGAGTGCTCAGCAAGGCCATTATGTAACATGGTGAGCTTGACAAAGAGCACTTAAATGGTTCACCCGAAAATAAGAACTAAGGTTTTCCAATTTGGACCAGTGCTCCTTCTACCCCCTCCCCTGGGCAACAGGCCACACCTGGGACAGCGAGGAGGCTGTGAGGCTATAGGAAACACGGAGTCATGTTTAAAACCAGAAGTATCCCAGGCTCCTTCATTTTGCTTGGATGAATAAAATGTGTGTCCTGAGCCCCTGGGAAAATTAAAGAATAAGTTGTGGTGCTTCCCAGACCTCAGTGTGCATATAAATCACCCGAGGAATCAGATTAAAATGCAGTTTCTGACTCTATATGTCTGGGGTGGCACTTGAGATTCTGCATTTCTTGGAAGCTCTCAAGTGATAACTGTACTGCTGGTTTGCAGACCACACTTTTTGAGTAGCAATGAGATGTAGCTGCTGGCTAATTTCTTCAACTTTCAGCAGTAATTGACCGTGCTTGCTCTCTGCAATTCAGTATTAAGAACGGTGGCTCTGAATTTATCATTTCAGGAGAGATTGGTGACTCTCAAGTTGTCAGTGCTTAGAGAAAAGTTTTATTGTGAATTGATAACCATAAAAATATTCATATCTTTTGGCCCAAAATTTCCATTTATGGGTGTTAATTCTAAATAAGTAACCCAAAAGATGGAAAAACCAGTATGAACAATGGTGTCCTAAAACACTTTAAATTCTGTGTCTAGTATAAAGGAAATGATTATGTTAATTATTATAAATTCACTCAAGACAATATTGTGGACATATGTTTATTTTCTCTCCCCCTCAAAAACAATATGTAAGCAAAGGAATAGAAATGGTATAAACTGACATAGTCAACAAATTAATGGATTAAGAGTTTCAACAAATTTTTCCAAGATTGAGAGTCTATGGAATTAGGGCATAACCATGGTCTCCTATCTCTATTTTTTAACTGGGTGGTGGGTATAAGGGTGATGTCCTTACAATTTTTATGTCTTTCTATATCCCGGAAATATTTCAAAATTTAATTTAAAAAAGAAGGTTGGGGACAGAGTGAAGAACATTATATCCTACATATTAAGAGTGTAAGTATTAAAACAAAGTGAACCAGATTACCCAACAAAATCTGTTCTTGGCTCTTGAAGTTCTAGAGACCATGGAAGTTAAGAATAAAGCATGAGGCTAACCCAGACGAATGGGTAAAGTCTGTCTCTGGATTTTTGGATGCCTAGATCCATGCCCTGTAGGAAATCATCTCTCCCCTGTTTCTACCACCATAAAAGATGGGCAATTTATTCTTCAGAAAAATTGAGTCATATCAGCTCAGAATTCAGGCACCTTACGTCATAAAGAGCTAGGTGAAAACAAGCAGATTAACAGAAGATCTATATACTGAACAGTGGGACCATCCACCCCTCCTCTGCCTGGCTCTCAACTGTCCAGGAGCCAAATGTATATATGCCCACAGGCAAGAGACTCAGAAAATACAATCTGTGGGCCAAGTCACGCCATTCTACTGTTTTTGCAAATAATGCTTTATTGGAACACAACCACACACATTCATTCATGAATTATTTATAACTGCTTTTTGCTGCAACAGAAGAGCTGAGTTATTGCAACAGTGACCTTCTGGCCTGTAAAATCTGAAATATTTACTGATTCTTACAGAAAACATTTACTTACCCGTGCTCTAGAGAAAAATCAATGTCCCCTGAGGAGAGGCCCCAAATCCCTCATTTGGAGATCTAGTGAAAAAAAGTCTGGTGAGCTGCCCATGACCTGACGATGAAGCCCTGTCCACATACACCTGTGTCTCCAAGCAGGTTTTAGTATCTTACTCTTACACACAAGCAGATGTGTGTAAGATTTTCCAGACACTCAAGGGAAACCCCAGTGTGAAGGATTGTGATGCAAACAAGAGCAAAAGCGACTTGGAGGAACCAAAAACTATTCAAAAAACAGAAAACAAAAATATGGAATTAATATCCTCAGAATGTTAATATTGGGGGCACCCGGGTGGCTCAGTCAGTTGAATGTCTGACTCATGATTTCAACTCAGATCATGATCTCAGGGTTGTGGGATTGAGCCCCATGTCCAGCTCTGTACTCAACAAGGAGTCTGCTTGAGATTTTCTCTCCCTGCCCCTCCCCCTCCACTCACACTCTCTCTCTTCTCTGTCTCTAATATATATATATATATATATATATATATATCTATATCTTAATCTATATCTTATATATATATATATATATATATATATATATATATATATCTTAAGAAGAAATAAGGATGCCTGGGTGGCTCAGCATCTGCCTTCGGCTCCCAGGATCAAGTCCCATATCAGGCTCCCTGCGAGGAGCCTGCTTCTCCCTCTACCTATGTCTCTACCTTTCTCTCTGTGTGTCTCTCATGTCTCTCTTCTTTTAAATAAAGAAGAAATATTAATATCAGATATCAGAAGTTATTTCATCTATGAATCAAGAACTAGATCCTATCATAAACAAGAGTGAACTCTGGAGACTTAAGAAAGTGATAGCCCAAATTAAATAAATAAATAAATAAATAAATAAATAAATAAACAAACAAACAAACAACCAGATAGGAAGGACTGTCAAGCAAAAAGACAAAAAAGATGAAAAGTGGCAGGGCAGAAGAACATTCTAGAAAAAAAAATCTAAGAAAATTAGATTACCAATCCAGAATGTCCAACATCCAACTAGAAAGAATTATAGCAAGAGAAGACCAAGGAAATGAAGGGCATGAAATTAGCAAAGAAATAATACTTCTGGGAAATGATATTTTTTAAATTTCTTGCACCTTGTACCCAGCATAGTAAATAGAAATAACCAGCAAGGGCCAGGGTGAAATTTTAAGGCACTACAACCATACAGAGAAGACACTGTTTCAAGAAAGGAGAGACCTAAAGCCAAAAAACAAGAATCGAACTGAAGCCAGACTTCTCAGCAGTAACACTGGATGTCAAAATATGCAGTAGAGCAACGCCCTCAGAATTCTGTAGGAAGGTGATTTTTAATTTGGGGTTCTGTGTCCAGCACTTTCAGTCAAGTATCAAGATAGAATAAAAATATGTTTCTACCTGAAAAGCTTTAAAATAGTTTTTATGTGTCTTTTCTTAGGAAACTACTCAAGGAGTGTTTCAACCCAACCAGGGAGTAAAACCAGTCAACAGATGTGAAGCCCAGAAAAGCAAGGGCTCCACACATAAGTGAAGGACATCCCAAGAGGGCGATGTGACATCACATGTGTGGAACAAATAGTCCAGTCTGGAGCAAGAGTACTCAAGACTTGGAAGCGAGGGCCTCTGAGAGACAGGGAGACAGAACTGAACAACGATTATGTATTGTCTTTAAGATATGGAAAAATTATTGCTAGATGTTTTACAGATTTGTTAGAACACTTGAGGAGGGTAGTAGGCTACTTAGTTCAGCAGAAAACAATTTGTATCTAGTTTAATAATGTGGACGCTGACTATTGATTTAACAAAAATTATTATATGTCTCCTAGGAGGATCATGAGAGGAGGTAGAGTGGGGGTAAGTTGGGGACTGGTGAAGGGAAAGTTAAATTCTCATCTAAAATAGATATTCAAGGGGTGCCTGGATGGTTCAGTGATTGAGCATCTGCCTTCAGCTCAGGTCATGATCCCAGGGTCCTGGGATCGAGTCCCACATCAGGCTCCCCATGGGGAGCCTGCTTCTTTCTCCCTTTGCATATGTCTCCGCCTCTCTCCGTGTGTCTCTCATGAATAAATAAATAAAATATTTTTAAAATAAAATAAAATAATCAAGAACAACTGTAAAAACAAAATTTAGAAATATACAGGTAAGTCCTTAAGGAAACAGAATGGTAGAAAGTGGATGTCTCTGTGAGAAAGGATGGGAGAAAAAAAATCTCTCTCTTCTCTTTTTTTTTTCTTTCTAAATTTGCTATTTGTGTGTGTATGTGAAATCACTTAGTACTGTTTTATTGTTTTAAAAAGATTATATGGCTGTTTAAATTATAACTGAAAAAACTAAGTCGCTTTGTGGAAAAATGCTTGTAATGCATTCCCTCCTTTTGGTCTAGCAGGATTTTAGTCTATGAAATAAGGACATTCCCCAGTTGGGAACCCGTGGCTGGCAGCCTGGAGGAACTCTGGTGTCCTTGGTGTGACCCAGATGTCCTGAGATCCATAGTCTCTGTGAGGGGTAACACACAAGCAGGTGTAGACCTATCAGTCAGGATAACCGCAGCCAGGAAGGGTGCGCCAGGGTCCAGGTAAAGAGGAAAGTGGGGAAAAGATATAAAATGCATATGTATAATATGACTGCATGATGCAAAAATGATACACTGGCCATGAGAAGGAAACAGGCAGAAATGAAACAGTTGAGTTTATCAGAGGTGGAAGTGAAGGTGTTTTTCCTTTAACTTAGAATTATACGAAGACAGTTTTAATGTTTGTGTAAAACAGCATACAAGTTTTTATGGGAAATCAGCGGCATTCTTTGCTCTGCTTCCCTCCTGCAGCTTAATTGCTTACACGGAACAGTATGTGGAATATGATCCTTTGATCTCCCCAGCCGAGCCGTCCAATCCCTGGATCAGCGACGATATCACTTTTTGGGACATAGAGATGAGGTAAAAAATAATAATAATATTAATTTTGTTAAAAAGTGTGAATGTTTGAGAAGGAAAGAGATGTGGGGGGAAGATCATGAGATAGTGAGATTCCATTATTTCCTATCTTAATTTTATTATTTTTATCACTAGAACAGAAAGCCTTCAAGTTACCTCCTAAGTTCTGCTTGCACATGGCCCTGCCTCCCTATGCCTATGGTTTGTGCATGGATCCTTAGTGGCTTCCTCTGACCTCTCTCTGCCCCTGGGATATCATGCTAACAGGGACAGTCCTTCACATTTCTTAGTTCTTTTCTTTTCTTTTTTATTTATTTATTTATTTTTAGAGAGAGAGAGCATGATGGGGTGGGGGGCGGGATGGAGAAGCAGATCATGACTCCAGCCAAAACCAAGAGTCAGGGCCTCAACTGACAGTGCGGCGTTTCCTAGTTATGATTGCTGGAGGGGAAAAAGTCTGTTGGCCAAATTTTTTATCTATATATAACAGTGGCAACAACAATAGTTAAGTGTTACCACTGACTCAGCACTGGCCACGTAGTACGGGAGTGCCTGGAGTCCCCACGGCAGGTAAACATTATTCTCATCATTTAACAGAGGAGGAAACTGAGGCACAGGGGAGTTAATGAATTTGCTCAAGGTCACACAGCGAGTGGGTAGCAGAGTTAGGATCAGAACCCAGACAGCAGGTTCCAGAGCTGTGGTTTTCATGGCTCTGCTCCTCAGGAGGAACTGCAAGGGGCTCTTTGCCTGTGAGGGAAGCTAGTGGGTTTACTTAACAGCTGAGAAGCCGAAGCCCGGAGGGACCTGGACCAGAGTCAGTCACAGAGGGAAGTGCACAGACAGATCTCATGTGGTGTGTGGTGTGCCCCTGCACCCTCTGCCCCTCGGCTAGAGTTTTTATTTCATTTTTCTTTCCTGTATATCACCCTCATCTGCTTTCATTCTTGCTCTGTTTCTGGTTTCTTTTCTGGAAATGAAGAAAAATAAACCTTACAAAAAGTAATAAAAGTCTGGGGCGCCTGGGTGGTTCTGTCAGTTAAACATCTGCCTTCGGCTTAGGTCATGGTCTCAGGGTCTTGGGATTGAGCCTCCCACCTGTTGGGTTCCCTGCTCAGGAGGGGAGTCTGCTTCTCCCTCTTCCTCTGCCCCTTTGTCACTCGTACTCTCGTGTGCTCTCTCGCTGTCTCTCAAATAAATAAATAAATCTTTTTTAAAAAGATGAGAAATCTTTTTAAAAAGTAATAAAAGTCTTTTATTACTCTTATATTTTGCTTGTTATAGAAAGTTCAAACTATTCAGATGTGCTTAATGAAGAAAAGTCACTCTCCCTCTCATCCAATGTCACTTTCCAGAAAGAGTCTTTGTTTAGGATCTAATGCATAGGCCCCAAACTGAGCCAGGGCACCCTGGGCCGCTGCAGGGAATTCACAGGATTACCCTGGGCTACTCGAAACCCCTGGGGAAGCACGGTTGACATCTGATGTGTGTCAGAGACTACATGAAGTACTGCTGGAGGCCCTTCCCTGTTTTCAACATTTCACTTTACATTCCTTTCAGTGATGTCATATCTTTGTAAATCTGGGTTTTCAGGGCAGTTGCTAGATAAAAAGCCAGTACTGTACATCAAAATGGAACAGAAAATGAGCATGTTGGGTTCCAGTCTGATTCCAAAGTACAAGAAGATCTACGGTGCTCAACAGGCCCACATGGTGGTTGCTTAAGAATGAAGTAAACCTTGTTTTTTTCTTTCAGTTTGTATGTACTTTATAGCTACTAAGTTTTTAGGACATAAATATATATTAAGTCTTCTGGACCTGACTATTTAAAAGACAAAGCTATTACATGGTTTGTTTGGGTTTTTTTTTTTTGGCCCAGAGGCACCATGCAAACGTTACTGAGACACTAAGGGTACGGTGAACTTGGGAAGTTTGGGAAGTTTTGATTTAGAGTCTATCCTTTTAGATTCTTACCTACATACAATATCATATTCTATTGCATAAATTAATTCATTATATATACATTGTCTCATAATTTTTTAAATAGCACATCAAGGGAATATTTCTCTGTAAATACATATAAACTCACCTTACCTTACCCTTTTCAATAACTATGTAGTGTGCCCTTGCATGAGTGTAGTATAAAGTATTTAACAAATCTCCAGGTTGTAAACATGAAGGTTATATCCCCCCCCTTTTTTTTTGGCTAGTGTAAAAAATGATATTAAAGACATTCTTATACACAAGTCCAATTATTGCTTTAGGATAAATTTCCAGGAGTGGAATTGCTAGGCCTGGTATGTATATTTTGATTTTAGTTTATATGGCCAGATTCCTCTTGAGCAAAGTAATACCATTTTTTTTCATGCCTTCAGCTTAAAAGTGTCCATTTCCCACATTTATCACCAACCCAAATGTTATCAATCTTTGTCATCTTTACAAGTGTAATAAGTTAAAATAAAAATCCCATTTCTTTTTCACTTCTTTGTTAAGAGACTAGAGAATCTTTTCTCATGGTTGGTATTCATTTTTCTCTTGTGTTTTGACTGTTTTGTGTTCTTCACTTACTTTTCTAGTGGCATGTTTTGCTTTGGACATTGAGATATAAAACAGTTACATTTACTTGGATTATATATTTTATCTTTTTCCTGGTATTTCATGTTTTCTGGATCTTATTCTTTTTGTTTCTTTTCCTCTTCCCTGATTTTTGCTTTACTAATCAAGTGTTGTATTAGCTTTCCTTACCCTAGTTTCTATTCTAGTCATATTTACTTTTAAATGTCTTAAATTATGGGCAGCCCTGGTGGTGCAGTGGTTTAGCGCCGCCTGCAGCCCGGGGTGTGATCCTGGAGACCTGGGATCGAGTCCCACATTGGGCTCCCTGCATGGAGCCTCCTGTGTCTTCTCCCTCTGCCTGTGTCTCTGCCTCTATCTCTGAATAAATAAATAAAACCTTTAAAAAATAGAGTTTTTTAAATTCTAACTAATGGCATCAATTCATACAAATAATAATAAAGTGTTTAAAATAAAGAATAGAATAAAATAGATTTCCCTCCTCCAAATCCCATTCTTCTCGATAGATTTGTTAACCTGATATATTTTAAACCAACATTTTGGGACTTATATTTCTCCATCAACATTAAATGAAAAATAGTTTATAGATGAGTATCTTTTTTCTAATAGTTCTGATGTGTCCTACATCATCTCTTCTAATCTGATCCAAGAATTTAAATCTTTCTTTAACTCAAGGTATTTTCTCTCCTTTTCTTTTTAATCACTACTACTCTTTCTTCTGTTTTATCCTCTCTTTTCAGGAAATCCTTTGGTAGAAACTCAGCCTCTGGAATGGAGCAGCCATATCTCTCTTTTCTCTTTTATAACTCCCATCTCTTAGTCCTTTTACTCTATATTCAAGGATAGAATTCCTTGAGTTACTCTTCAGAGCCTCCAGCTTGGTGTTCAGAGATGCCCATTCTGTGATTTTATACTTCACGAGTTTTTCTTTTCCTACTGAGTGTTGGGAGGGCTGAGCGACAATCACGCTTTTCATTTCCAAGAATTCTTAATACTTCTTGGACTCCTGCTCTGTTCTTCTGATATGTATCCTTTTAAGTCCCTCTGAGGATGTGATACAGGTTTGGTTTGGTTTGGTTTGGTTTCATACTTCCTCTCTATTTGTGACAGTCTGTTTCATTGGTGATCATTTATCACAGAATCAATCACTGTGACTAATCACCACCGTTCAGAGCAGATCAGCCTGTCTTTTCATATACCCAGCAATTTGAGGGACTGTTGGTTTTCATAAGTGAAGCTCTTGGCTATCAACTCTAGCCATACATTAGAACCACCTGGAGAGTTTATTAAGACAGCAAACAGAAAATAAAAACAACAACAACAAACAATGCCCAGTCCCCTCCCTGGGACAATTAAATCAAAATTTCTGTCAGTGGGGCATTATTTGTCTGTCTTTTTGCTTGTTTTTAATCTGTCCAACTGATTCTAAAAGGCAGCCCTGATCCAGATGGACTAGATTATAGCTAGTGAGGACTCCCTCAGTAACTTTGGGGGTCTGTGGTTCCCAAAGCACGGGGTACATCAGATTCACCTAGGATGCTCATTAAGAAGACAGATGCCCCAGAATGGTTCTGGGTGTCTGTATTTTGAGCAAGTGTTCTAGGTGATTCTGAGGCACAGCAGTTTGAGAAGTCCTTGTGTGGTTCCCAGAGTTCCTCTGACCACCACCCCGCAGGCTCTCCTCTGAGCAGTCCATGTGGCTGTAGGGCTTCACTGGAGTGTTATGGGGGGCCATAGGTGAGTCAGCAGGGTCTGCCTCTGGGCCCTGGCCATCTGGGCCAAGAGCAGACTGAAAGACTCCTCTCAGAGCAGGACAGGTGGTTGAGCCCCACCTTCCCTTAGCCTGACATCCCTGCAAGCTGGGTGTTCTGCTCTGCCTCAGATCCCGATGGGGTTTCTGAAGTTCTTCAGTTTCTTGTCTTTATGTTCCCAATAAGTCCACTCTTCTCCCTTCTGCTGAGGAGTGATATGGATCCTGATTAGATTACAGAAGCCAAAGAAAAGTAGGAGGAAAACTGAAAGTCGTTAGAAGTTTCCCTGTTTTGCTGAGATGCTTTTCCCATCTATATTTGCTGTTCACCCAAGATTTCAGAGGCGCTACTCTCTGGTTTTATTACCCATATTAGGAGCTAACTGGAAAACACCCCCATTTGCTGAAGAGACCCTCTCTGCCATAGGGAGCCTCTGGTCCATATTTCTTCTTTCTTTCTTTCTTTCTTTCTTTCTTTCTTTCTTTCTTTCTTTCTTCTTTCTTTTTTTTTTTATCTGGTCCATATTTCTGAGTTTCTTCCATATGTCCCCTGTCCAATGCCCACCAACTGCCTCAACTTCCAGTCCTACTGCTCAGAGCTTGGGGTTTTCCCAGGCTTCTGGGGACACAGCTAATTTCTTTCCAGATGGCCCCAGAATCAGGTGGCTCTCAATCAGTTG